CCACCATGGTACCAGCGAGCCAACGTCTCTTCATGCAAAGATTAACAGGATCTTATGAGATTTTTCACTGGAGTGAAAGGGTAAGGTAATGTCTAACATGTTTCTCGCACAGACTGACGTTTGCTTATGGGATTTTACCATAAAAGTAAAGAGTTACAGAAGGACTGAAAAGGCTAATTGTCAAGGTAATGCGGCCATTCTTTTTTAGACTAGCTCTAGGGCACAGGGGGATTTATTAACGCGTGTTTTCAAGTCGGACAGATGTCAATCAAGCGCATTGTTAACCAGTTATATTGTATATAACCAGTCTGTAGATCTTTGTGTTGGGATTTGAGCAGAAATATTCAATTTTACGCAATTAAGAAACATAGAGCGGATTGAAACCTTGGGTATTACAGGTACCGATAAGCGCTCGATTTCGTTTGTCATCCTTCTTGAAAAATTCTTGTGAATGGAAAGATGAAAGGTCAGCTCAAAATACTGCATATTTTCCACAATATCAAGAGATTTATGTCTGTTTTACGTATTTATTCCAATAAGAAGAAGTTCCACTACAGCTATCCAATGATCAAGGCTTCAAAGAATCGCCAGCAAATACTTCAATTTTTCAATGCACACTATGTTTTTTTTTTTAGTATTCAGCTCTTTTTTATACTGCCGGTAGAACTTTGACAGCCTATTAAGATTTGAAATACTTATATATAAACCAGGACACTTGCTGCAAAATGTTGCTGCTTTAATCTGTATGCATCTAACTCCAAATTTGTGCGGTATTATTTTCCTCCTACGTTATGGAATGATATCAAAGTTTGATGCAATTGGTTCCAAAAAAAAAAAAATGGAAACAAAATTGTGCGTACATTTGTTATCTAAGTTCATAATCGAGAAAGAAAATCCAAAAAATTACCCACGCAAATTTAAAGAAATAAACAAATATTCGCTTGGAGTTTCTCCAATTTTTGGTCATAATTACAGAAAAGCATTAAATTGAATTGCAAAAAGTTAACCCTGGCAGCTTAAAATTACGTTTTTAGATGGCAGGTCTTCGCTTTAAACATCTTCAAAAAATGCCTCCTTTTTTATGCAAACGATAATTTATAATTATAAATTAAGCTATATAATTATAAATAATCAACGAAAGCTATATAATTAAAAATAAAGAACGTAAAATATTATGGCAAATACAACGACACGAGTTCAAGAGCGCTAAGAATACATAGAGTTATAAACCACGTTAGAAATATTTTAATAGAATTGATATCCTTTCTCATTTTACAGCTGGTATAATCAGTTTGACCGGTTGATGTCTTACTATACCACTTGAAATCACTGAAATGGGGTCGATTTTTTATGACCGAGTTCCACATATATTATGTGGTGTCGTATAAGCTCATTTTTAAGTCACGCATTTGTATTGTGTTGATGCCAAGAGTTTTCGTACTTTACAATGTATTCCAATAAGACCAGTTGGATTTTGTCCTTCAAATTTGTGCACGGCCGATGAGATCAACCCAAATTATAGTTCAGTTTATTCTTAATCGCTAAAAGTGCAGGAACTCAGCGATGAGTAAATTATCCCCATTAAAACAACCTCAATAATCTGCTGGAAAATTAAGAAAACGTACGAAAATATTGCTCAGTCTAGTAGTAGTACCAATAGACCGAGAGAATCCAATCGTTACTGTTATCATATTCTGGATTTTTTTCCTTGAAAAGTGTGACAAAGCTCATGAAGCAAATTTACTGAATTCTTGCAGTTTTTGCGATTAATGAGTAAAGTAAAATCAAATATGGGTTGATCTCATTGGCCGTGTGCGACGAGTTTTTCCACTTTTTGCACACGTTATTGCTAAACAATCCAAATTTAAGTAAGATCTACTCATTTCCATTAGGATTCAGTTCGATGTTGTTCATTCTTCATTTTGTCGGTCCCAACTTTGTTTACTCAATTTTGGCGGATATGAGTAAATCCTACTTATATTTTGGTTGTTTCTAAATAGCGTGCATCCTGCATGCAAAATCTAATGCGGACGTTACACATTTCAATATACTCATAAGGAGAATAGTGTAACTGGCGCTTTAAGTCTTGGTCTATTTTTTTTTTTGTTTATTAATTTATTTGATAAGGCTCAACCGAATTAACTTTACAGAACCGAGGATTCTTGGTCACTATACAATACATCTTAAAACTATAGTCAAAAGGTACAACACAATAAACACTTTATCTTCCGCTATCCAAAAAGCCTCCTCCATCAGAACTGGAGCCGCTTCTAGTAGTTTCATTGTATGGCAAATTGTTGTACGCCAACGAGGGTCAGAGCGCGTCCATTGAAGTAATGGACGCAAAACGTGGTCAGCACTCACACACTCATCACGAAACGGTTGCTTTGCAAAGTCGACGACGCATCGTCTGAAACAACTGCTGATGAAGAACAATGAGGAGGACCACACAATGGTTGCTGCCGAGAAAACAGACGATCGCGTAGCACTCATCGAGAGTGGCCTGCTTTTGTCGACAGCCGAGTGAACACTGAATTCTTGGTCTATACATCACCCGAATTCTTACAATCGCTATTACAACTGGTACATCGTGAATAAATCTGGAAACTGTCTGACTGATCTGCCCCGTTGGCGTAGCTAATGGGGTGCCTAACGAACTCATTTTTCCAAAAAAAAAAAAAATCTTCAATTGGGCTACACTGAGGCAAGTTTGTTGAATTGCGTTTTTTTTTTGTATATACGCGATGTATTGATTTACAAGAAGGTTAGTGTTTTCTTAGCAAAATGATGTTTTATCCGGCCAAAACACGTAGTTTGAACACGTTTGATTTTGGTACACTTCTTGGTTGTTAGCCGAACCGCTAGGCTTGAACCATGGCTTAAAAATTCCTCTCTTCGTTATGGCGATATACAGCATCACTTTCTGTTCAAACTTGTGTTTGAACTTGAATCTTACATTTGGAACTATAATCTGAATAATATCGATCATTTCCAGGAATGTGAGATTTTGAGAGAGGAAAGTAACTGTCATCATCCAAAACTAGACATTTTCCTGAGTAATTTCTTGGGTTTTCACGTTCAAAATGTGTTGATTGGTGTATTCTGGAGTTCTTGATTTCTTGTGGCAAACTATTCCTATCCTTTGGGACGTTGAACGTATTGTGTAGCGATCGGAATCCTTTTTTGCCCATTATTTTGGCTGGTTTTCCACTACCCCTCTACCGAACTGTTGTTAATGATGCCAGAATACGATAAACAGTAGGAATTGGTACATTCTCTGATTTGAAATGATCCACCGTAAACTTTTTCACACGATTTTCATGTGTTTTGTCCAATGATAATACGGAAAATTGGGCTGATTGATTATTAAACTTTATTCGTTGGTCAAATATTGTTGCAATATAATAAGATTGTAAATAATAACTGTGCTTAAAGCATGTAGAGCACAATAAAGCAGATTAAATATGAAGTCATAAAGCTCCAGTTGTAAGCCAAGAAGAAGACAGTTATGTATATACACTTTGCACTACCAAATCAGCTCCGCATAGATAAGCCAAAATTGTATCTTAAAATTATTGTCATGTTAGGAAATAAACGTGAAGACATAAATCAATTGATTATTGAATTATGATTTGGACTGCAATTCAAACTAGCAATTGCTGTTCAATTGAGCTGTGCGGAAACTGGAACCAATAAAAATAACCTTTAAGGCTTCGTCTATCTATGGATAATATCAAAAACGAGATTATACTGTGTAACAAAGGTTCTATTCACCTGCCCCACAAAGGTTCTATTCACTAAAACTTCAAATTAAACAAACAAACAAACTACGACTGATTTCTAGTTGACGATAAAAGAACAGCTAATTAACACGCAGTTACCCTGTAACGTAGATCACCTTTTCGTGGTACGTTACGGGAAGTAAGATCTACCACCGATTCCTAGTCCTGACTACTTCAAACTAGGGGAACAGGATTTTTCAGTAATCAAAGGAACACATCTTAGTCCTAGTTACTTTTTATGCTTTGTTGATAGTGACAATACTCGGCTTTGTCCACCGAGGATGATCTTGATACAAGGAAAAAATGAGTTAGTTAGTCTTCATGTAAGTGATCCCTAATCTTCTGTTTGTTGTTCCCTAGTTTGAAGTGGTTAAGACTAGGGTTCTGATGCATGGTCATTATCGGTGTCATTCCATAATTTTGTTGCTAAGGAATCCAATTTTGACTGACAATGGAGCGAGCCTTTTAGGGTGTTTCAACACTCCGAAGGGTATAAATAGCGGGACCTTTCAATAAGAGTCGGATCCTTGCTATAAATACAAGAATGACAACTGCGAATACTTCATCATTTCTCAATAGTGATGGAGTAATACGACATGCAATAAACTAAGAACACGGGATATACTACAATAGATCAAATTACTGGTCGCAGTAGTGTTAGGTCCCAAACAGAGGAAAAACACGCAGTTCAAATGAAAAGGTTGCCGAAGAAAAAGAGGCTGCCGACAATAGTCACACTCACATGAGAAGTTTGGAGCGTTGTAAAAATGTGTTCTACCCGCTTTGGACAGTTCTATTGATTGCAATGGATACGCTGAGAAATGTCTTATAAAAGTGCGGACGCTGCTTAGATTGACGAGAATTCCCCTATCTCAGTTTTTAATATCTCAAACCTTACCCCAGAGATCTAATCAAAGAAAATAATTCTGACTCGAGAAGCACCTGGATTCAGCTCCCACGATTCCAGCTTCATTATCCATTCGCTCAACTCAAACATGACAGACTTAGACAAATGGTTACTGAACGATGATAATAACCATTCCATAGAATTCGCACCGTTTGAAGCACGTCTAGCTCCTAGGATGAAATGAAAAAGAACATGCCATTTCAATCATTCATCTCACCAACGCTATTAATTCTCTTTTCTCTTTCCAGGTAGGAGTGCTTTCAACTTTCGCATAAATCCCCGGCTTCGGCTTCGCATAACGATGACGACGGCGATGTGGTTTGGGTAAGTCTTTGTCTAAATAAATCCATAAACCACTTTGCCTGGTGGCAGTTTGAAAATAGTCTTACATAAATATTAACGCTCTCTATGTTCCCCCCAGCGCCAACCGAGAGCGTAGCGTCTTAACCTTTATTTTAACCCTCGCGCCGCCTAGAACTCGTAAACTAATCTGATTAGTTAGACGTTCACCGGAATGCGGTTACACCTTGGCATGTTGCGTTGTGATTGATCCACTTACCGCGGTGAATCTTGTCCGATTTCCCTCCGGTTCGAGTTAGAGCGGTAGTAGCTTGAAGAAAATCGATCCTCGTCGTCGCCATCCGTCACACTAAAAGCCAATAAACGTGGATCCCCGTTTTGAACAGCCCGGAGCCCGTCTCATCATTAAATCAGGACGTTGGCGCACGTTACCCGCCATGTTCTGGAAGCTGTCCCATCCGGACGTAATTTATTGTTATTAGCCTTCATTTTCACTTCCCCGAGGGGACCGTCGTCGTCGTCGTCGTTTACAGTCGTTCGGCCTGTGTCCTTCAGCTGCTGCTGCTACTACGGCTGTGAGCTGTTGTTGTTATTTGCATCGAACCCGTGAAGAGTGATGCTCTGGTGTTTATGTTATTGTTGTGACCCACCGGGTTCGGTTACATTTGTGTTATCTTGAGAATATGGAGCTGGCTGCTGCTGGAAATGGTTAGCTAAAGGGATCAACGGCTACCAAATGGTAGGACGTTACTGGAAGTGGCTTTGAAATGATGAAAAGTTGTTCTATTTGTAACCCATTAGCTTGTGAGGCGTTTAACAGAATACCTCATAAATACTGGAAAAGTTGGTCACTGGAATACTCTCACCTGGAAATTGTGGCTTCTGGTAAATTGCCATCGGTTTCACTGTAATCTTACATTTAAATTTTAATTCAAGCTTAAACAACCACCTCGAATGTCCTGCTAAACCGAACATCTCCCCATCCATCAGCCCATCAAAAGCTGGGAAGCGATAAATTTCTCCCCCTCCTTCCCCTGCCTTTTTCCGCTCTATAAAATTCACATTTACCTTCACGTTCCGTCCATCCGTCCATCCTTCAGTCAACGGAATTGCACGGCTCATAATTTACTGTCGTCCTTGTTGTTTTTGTCGTCCTTCCTGTGCCCTCCGGCCCTTACCGGACTGCGGATGCTTTATGCAAGCATTTTGGGGATTTATTTCACATTTTTCGCCCCTCGCTCTCGTGTCCTTCAGCCGAGATCCGCTCGATGGAAGATGGAGAAATCAGGAAGACAATAATGAAGTACGTGCAAATGTTAACGAAGGGATGATAATTTAATGCCGGCACGTCGTCCTGGAGGTTCTCTCTCTCTCTCTCTCTCTCTTACCGATCCGATGGTTGGATGGAAGCAAGGCCAAGAAAGTGGGGGTGGATCAGGAGAAATAGGACTTGGCTATGGGGACGGTGCAAATATTTCCGGATCAGCAACGGGGCTCAAGAGGGATGAGACTACAACTGGGTGCTTCGTTGGAAGCGGGAATGAAGAAGCCACAGAATGTGACATTCGACAATTAACTGACGGCTGTTCCATACTGTTTGATGGTGGCTTTCGGACAAGATTGGAGACTGTTTGTTGGAATGGATTATCTGGAAATGCTTGGGCAAATTGAGATTTCAACTCGAGGGTTTCTTCGGAATTCATTCTATAAAGTAATTTAAAGTCTTTAAAGATTCGATGAGCTCCAGGATTGGGATCTAACGAAACCTATTATTGGAATCTCTCAGTTGAGATTCAACAAAGAAACATTCAACATCCGATAAATCATCAATTTATGAAATCCTCATCAGATCCACAATTCCACCATTCATTCGTAAACAGGTAAATGTCAGTGTATTTCTGAGTTGCGGGCCAATTAACCCGGATCAATGGTGATGAAAAATCACTCTCACAATTAATAATGATGATGGGGGTGCTGGAATGATGTTTTTTTTGCAACTTTATTCAGCATATTAAAAAAGTCTCAGAGGCCAACGATATTTCACCAACAGCTTCGAGTTTTTTTTTTTTGCTTTTCATTTTCAACATTGTATTTTTGGGAAAGGTGTGCTCCAACCGCTGTCAATCAAGCAATCACTGTCGAAAAAATAACCACAATATTTTACTCCATGGTGCGCCTCAGTTTGGGCGCTAATTTGTGCTTGACTATACATTTTCTGTTGCTGAAAATGCTTGTAACTTGCTACAAATAGCAAACGTAACGAAGCATGATTTTCGAGGATTTCACATTTTTAAATTTATTTTTTTACATTTTCTTAGACGTCATTTTGTTTAGAAATACCGTTTCCGTGCAACATTTTTTTGAAAAATTTCAACGATGCCATGCCAACATCGAAAATGGCCGAGTTTTAGCAAAAATGTGAAACACCACTTCTTCTTCTTCCTCGCATTTCAAGCTTATTGTATATCGCATATTAGCTTATTCCGTGCTCTCAACTTAGTGTTCTAGATGCACTTCCACAGTTATTAATTGAGAGCTTTCGATGCCTGTACCATTTTTGCATTAGTAAATTGTGTGGCAAGTACAATCATACTTTATGCCCCAGGCAAGTCGAGAAATTTTCCAACCCGAAAAATTCCTAGACTGGACCGGGAATCGAACCAAGCCACCTCCAGCATGGTCTTGCTTTGTAGCTGCGCCTTTACCGACTGAGCTAAGGGAGGTCACCACTGCGACCAGTAATTTGATCTATTGTAGTATTTGCCGTGTCCTTAGTTTAGTGCATGTCGTATTACTCCATCACTATTGAGAAATGATGAAGCATTCGAATTTTTTATAGTTGTCAATCATGCGTTTATCGCAAGGATCCGACTCTAATTGAAAGGTCCCGCTATTTATACCCTTCGTAGTGTTGAAACACCGCCCCTTTGTCAGTCAAAATGGGATTCCTTAGCAAAAAAAAATTAAGGAATGACACCGATAATGACCATGCATCAGAACCCTAGTCTTAACCACTTCAAACTAAGGAACAACGAATAGAAGATTAGGAATCACATAGTTGAAGACTAACTAACTCATTTGTTCCTTGTTTCAAGATCATTCTCGATGGAAAAAGCCAAGTCTTGTCACTATCAACAAAGCATACAAAGTAACAAAGACTAAGCTGTGTTCCTTTGATTACTGAAAAATCCTATTCCCCTAGTTTGAAGTAGTCAGGACTAGGAATCGGTGGTAGATCTTACTTCCCGTAACGTACCACGAAAAGGTTATCGGGGCAACCAATAGACGCTGCTTGGGACAAGAAATCATCCTCAATGTCTAAATACTGGTGATCCAAAACTAGGCAATACCTGCGCCGGTCACTTCCGAATGCTGGTCAAGAAAGGAACGGGTAGGAATATGTTGACGTTATACTCCCTTTAATGAAAGCCGAGAACACCTCTGCACTTCCAAGAGAAATCACTGGGATTGCACCAGGATTCGTTTTTGGTAAACGATATGCTGAATTGATGTCCTAATGATTCAATAGCGTGAAGGAGCGTGGGATTGAACCCATGGTCTTCTGCTCAGTAAGCAAAATCGGTCGCCACAAGGCCGACGAGCTCCTTATACCAGAAAACAATTACGATCATGATTCCGTTCAAGTTGTAGTTCTCCCGGCGGTGACCACACCAACTATGACGACAACAACTGCTCTTGAGAAGGAGAAGGATTTGATATGGATTTCCGATCAACACGTCTTTCTTTAAACTCTTATATTACTTCTTTTACGTACCCGGCCCTCGAACCGAATTACTTTACGCTTTACATCATATTATGAAAGAAACTGATTTAAAGTATAACTCTATAATGTAAAGGAGCTTGGGATTGAACCCTTGATTTTCTGCTAAACAAGTAAAATCGGTCGTCACATCGCCACCGAGCTCCTTATTTCACAAAACAATTACTACCAAGGTAATGTTCAACTTGCTGTTACTACAATAAAAATTTCTCTCTAAAAGGATTTGTTTTAGATTTCCTATCAACACGCCATACCTAAAACTCTAATAATATTTCATTTACGTACTTGTTCCTCCAACCGAATTTAAATACGCTTTATCTCATATTAAGAATAATTCCGATTAACACTCAAACTCTATAATGTGAAAAAACTTGAGATTGAACCAAAGTAGTCTGCTCAATAAGCAAAATCGGTCACCACTAGGCCACCGAGCTTCTTACATAAAAGTAGAAGAGTCTGTGCGCCTAGGGGCACGAACGGAGGCTTGACGTAGGACCGCCAGTGGACGGAACAAAAATATTGATCGTTTAGTTCTTAACTCTTTCCGTTTTTCAATTGGTGGCCCAGAAAAGAGCCGGTTGTTTTTCGAATGGTGGTCACACCAGTGCAAGTTAATGCCCACCGGATGACGGTGGTCTAGTCATGATGCCATTGCGGGAAGCCTTGACACATATACCGATTTATTTGTAATGATACTGATTTAAAAAAAAATTGATACAGATATCTGTATTTTCAGATAACAGATTTTAATTAATATACAGATTTTTCAAATAAGTGGAGTATTTGTTTAGTTCTGGATTGTATAATTTAATATACATTAAGAATTCTTTCTTCCTTTTAAGTAGGTACAAGCAACTAACCAAATACCAATTTTTCAATTTTTATTTTATTATCTTCGTTAATTTTGAACAGACTTCTGATGGTTAGATGTTCTGATTTCTGATTTCTTAGAAAGGACTTAGACTGGTTAGAAGAGGCATTCTTATTGTTTAATTAACCATATCACATGGAGACAGGTACTATTTTTTTTTAATTTGTCGAATCGGTAAACAAGCCGTTTTAACAACCCACAAGCTGATTGATTACAGTTTGTGAGTCGAAGAGTCTACTGGATATTTTGACATTTTACTAGCGTAATATCAGAGTTAACGAATATTCTACATCCAAATAAAAGTTATGTGTTGTGACAAAATGCAATGAAGTTTATAAAACATATGAACACGATTGAAAATAGAGAAATACATATG